GCGCTTGTGAAAATGCAAGGGAAGACTTACTGTCAGCTGAGTCTTTAACTGGTACAACTCATAGGGAGGGTAATTTGGCAAGGTACATCCGTATCTCAACTACATGTGTACCCAGCAGTTTTACTTCAGGGAATTTATCCTACAGATATGCCCCCACATGTGAAATGACTTAATAGGGGACATTCTGATTGCAGTAGTGTTTGTAATGGCAGAAAGTTCAAAGCAAGTTAAATGCCAATCATTAGGGGATTGGCCAAATAAATTAATGATATATTTATACACTGGCTATATAAGTGATTAAAAAATTTTTTAAGAATAAGGATGTTCTGCCCTAGCCAGTTTGGGTTGGTGTTTAGTGTTGGCCCGTGGACTGAATGGTCTCAGATTTCATTCCAGTCAAGGGTTTGTACCTCAGTTGCAGGCTCTGTCCCCCACCTGGGTCAGAGCTCGTGCAGGAGGCAACCAGTCGATGTGTTTCTCTCACATCGAGTTTCTCTCTCTCATTGATGTTTCTCTCTCCCCCCTTCTCCCTTTCTCTCTAAAATCAATAAAAACATTTGAAAAAAGAAAGGGAAAAAAATGGTGTATTTGCATTTAACCTAAAAAGAGAAAAAAAGAATAAGGATGTTCTTTGTGTACTGATGTATAAAAAAAATTTCTAAGATACATAGTTAAGCAAAGTGCAGGACAGTGCATTTATTGGGCTACTACCATTTGTGTGAAAAGGAGGAATGAAAATATATATTTGCTTGTATATACAGGAATAAACTTTGATAGAATTTGCAGAGAACAGTGACTGTGGTAACCTGGGAGATTAGGAAACTAAGTAGATAAACACGAGTATACATGTGTTTCTGTGTCTGAATGTTGCTGACTGGTCACAGTATAACTCGTGTCTGTGCTTACATTTAAGTAATTTTAAACACCTTGCTGACCAAAGTAGCCGGCCGCACAGGTAAGTTCTGGCTTGAAATAGCCGGTCAGCAAGGTGTTAAGTGGGAGGCTTTTTACTGTACACTTTTTTATACTTAGATTTCAGAACCATATGAATGTTTTACCTGTTTAAATAAATAAATTGTACTTTAAAAAAAAAGAAATCAAAACATGTAGTCAGTTTTAAAAATAGTATCCAAAGTACAATAAAAAAAAGTGTGTGTGTGTGTGTGTGTGTGAGAGAGAGAGAGAGAGAGAGAGAGAGAGAGAGAGAGAGAACAGTGCTCTAGTTTCCCATATCAGCTTCTGGGGGTGGGGTGGGGTGGGGTTGGCTAATGTTCTTTACAAACCAGAACATCCAGTTGAATAATGTGAATGAGCATGTTATGATTACCACTTTCATGCTAGACTTACTCAGCTAAACTGTTCGTGTAGCCTAATAGGGACAGCTGTAGTGCCGTAGAAAGAACACAGATTTTGAAACAACAAACTTGAATTTGACTCCAGCCTCTGCTGACTGATTTCTGGCTATGAGATTTTGGACAAGTTGCTGTAGTGATCACCTACCCAAACCTCTCAACATATGAAAAGAATGACTGAAATATGTAGGAGTGCTTTGTAAATTATCAAATACCATATAAAGAGTTATTACTTGTATTTTAGTTTATTTTGTGCATTAATTGACCCATCAAGTTGGTCATAATTGTATTGCTAAACATTAGTTACAAACATAACATCCTTAGCACATGGCTTAGAAAATAGAAGTGTGAATTCCCTCAACTCTCCTGCCCCACATCTAGCAATCACATTATGTCTCTGCCCTCCAGATCCCACCTTCCTCTTAACCATTTCTTTCCTACTGAACTTTGGCCACTCGAGTGACTTGTGTTCAGCAAAAATTATCTTTCCTGATGAGTGGTGTATATATTTCTACCTTTTGTGCTTTGGAATTGTTTCTTTTCCATTCCTCATAGGGTTTGAGTCTTCATAAATATTTTCTCCATAAATTCAAAGAGTTACTTCCTAACCTCCAGGTAGAGGTAGAGGACACCAGTGCCTTTGTAAGGCCAACTCTTCTCTCTGCTTTTGTTCTCCATTTATTTCCTACCCTGTTCCATTAGTTATCTCCCTGTCTTGTATTGTCAGTCTCTTTCTCAAATCCTAACTCTACACTTTGACCTGAGAAGTATGCTAAAGTCCCTAACTTCCCTAAAAGAACTATATCAAATTTGAATCCCTTCTGTTGTCATATTTTTTTCTTCAAAGAATGATTACTTTTAATTTCCCAATTTTCATTCATTCCTTAGTCTATTACGATTTATGATATTGACTTCCCTCTTAACTGTTTTACTTGTCTGAAGAGGTTGGTGAACTTCCCACTGCTAAATTCAGTGGCTTTCAGCTCTCATTCTGCCTGACTGTTGACACCTTTTTGAAATGTGCTCCTCCTTTGGCTTCTGTGATACACATTGATTCCTGGGTTTTCTTCCCTCTCCTGTATTATTAATCTCTTTTGCTTTTTTCCCCCCTATCACCTGCTGCTTAAGCTTAAGGATTATTCATTCTTCTTCCTTGTTTGTCATCTCAATATTTTTCCTTCCACAGCTGTTGTATTATATTAATGACCAATAAGTTCATACTGTTCATACTTTCCATCTATACTCTCTCCCTGAGAGTTCATCCATTTCCATAGCTATAGAAACTAATGACTTCCCTCAACTCTGTTCTGCGCTTGCAATTTTTATTAATTGCCTTTGGACTTGCCTGCCTGGTTGTGTGTACTTCACATTTACCTATCTCCCTAACTAAAATAATCTCTCCTCTCATCCAACCTGCTCATCTCGTTGTGTTCCCAGTCTCAGTCAGTGTCATCATCACCTTTCTGGTCTCTTATGCTAGAAACCTCCAGGGTCATTCTTGATTCCTTCCTGACCATTCACAAAGGCCTGTCTTTTCTGCTTCTGAAATAGATGTTTTATACATCTCTTGTTTTCCATCCCTACTCGGTCAAGTTTCTTACAAATGAAACATAGCTTATGTGTCACTTCCTCAACCTTGACTATTTTTATGACTTTCTGTTGCCTACAAGACAAAGTGTAAAGTCCTTGGCATGGCAAACAAGGTCCTTTACAACCTGTTCCTAACCTTTTCTTCCACCAGCCCTGACAGACTCTGTTCTCCAGCCACCTTAGGAGTACTCACTAGTTGTCTGAATGTCACTTTCACATGTCTGAGCCACAGTTCATGTTGTCTGCCTGGAGTCCATTTACCTTAACAGTTACTCTCAAAGTTTCTGCTCAAGAATCTTATCTTTTATGTTGCCTCTCTTGACCACACAGAATTATAGCACTTTATTCATATCTCTAATATAATATGTATTCTGTATTAAAATAACTTATGAACTCCTTAAGGACATCATCTAGATCTTACTAACTTTAGTATTGCCACAGAAGAGTACCACAGAAGAGTACCTGGAATATAGAATTTTGATAATTACCTGTGGGATGAATATATTGAAAGTAAAGTAAAAGAGAACACAGCTTACAGTCTGCAGAGTTCTCATGTTGTCTTGTGAACAGCAAATTGAGTTGGTTAAGAACTTGATCTCTTTAGTCAGGCACACTTGGGTTCAAACCCACTCTGTAACACTAGCTGAGGCTGTTTCTTTACCTGTAAAATGGCAATGATGGCGTATCTGAGAATTAAATGTAAAGCACGTATCAATCCTTGGTACATTGTAATAACTTTAAGCTATTATTAAGTGCGTAATGCATTTCTAATGAATAATAGTAATACCCTATAGTAATACTTAGTTATATTTGCAGTCAGAAATGTGTTACAAGAATGCTATGTTCTCACATGATCTTCCTAAGAGAAACCTTTCTCAACCAAGCTGATTACATCTTCCCAGTAGCGGTGACTCAACTTGTGCTATTATCAGTGAAGAGGAAGAGGGGTACCTGTTATATTTCCTGTTATCTGTTATTTTTATTATTGTTTTGGTGCTCTTGGGATTCATTCTACCCTTTACAAAAACTGAGTTTTAGATGTGAGCAGTGATACCAAAAAGGAAATTGAACTTAAAGAATAGGAAAGAAGAAACCCAGGATAAGGATAGAAGTAATAAAGTGATACTTGGATGAAGAGTCCAAGGAAAGTAGAATCTAACAAAGGTTCTCCTTTCATTCCATCGTTCTTCAAGTATTATTGTCCCCTGACTCTATACAGGGCACAGTGGGAATGGGGCAGAGATATCATAATTGTTTAAGCCTAATTTCTCACTGTAAAGATTTTAAAAAATTGAATACTTGAGCCCGGCCAGCATGGTTCAGCGGTTGAGCATCGACCTATGATCTAGGAGACTGAGGTTCGGTCCCCGTTCAGGGTACATGCCTGGGTTGTGGGCTCGATCCCCCAGCAGGGATTGTGCAGGAGGCAGCCAGCCAATCAATGACTCTCTCATCATTGATGTTTCTATTTCACTCCCTCTCCCTTCCTCTTTCTGAAATCAGTAAAGATATTTTTTTAAAAAAATTGAATACTTGAGATAATTGTAGATTTACATGTCATTGTAAGAAGTAATTAGAGAGAAATCCCTTATACATCACTACAGGATTTTAAGTCTTATTAGTAATGAAGGTGAGATAGTTCCTTGTATAACTGGTATAAAACTCCAGGTAGAAAGCACTTCATGAATTTGGTAAAGCTGAGATTTCTCTGCTTAAAGCTATAGCAAATGAAGTTTTCATGCAGGTGTCAGTTTTAAGCCAAACCTCAAAGGATGAGTATAATTGTCTTAGGTTTGGAATGGAAGGAGAGAGGACAGCCAAGACCAAGGTGAAAGGAAGGACCTGGGTTTCTTCAGTGAATTTGGTAAATAATCTAGACTTCTTAACTGTACACTTCTTGTAAATTGGTTCTTTCTTATCTCAAGTGTTTGTAACTCAAGTAATGATGAGCCTATTGTTAATCTCAGGTATGACTTTTACATTTTCTGTTTTTGATATAGAATATCTTGATTCTGCTGAAAGCCTGACTTACTGAAAAAGTTTTTCTTGTGCTTTTAGAATGATGGTAGAGAACGGCATGAGCACAGCAGCGAAAGGCGCAGGCGGGGCAACCCTGAGCCGTTATCTAATGGAGGACCCCAGGGTAACACACTGCAGGTGGTGGAACAAGAAGAAGAAGAAGATGAGGAGCTGACACTGAAATACGGCGCCAAACATGTGATCATGCTCTTTGTCCCCGTGACTCTCTGTATGGTGGTAGTGGTGGCAACTATCAAATCAGTCAGCTTTTATACCCGGAAGGATGGGCAGTTGTATGTATGAATGTTTCGTTTTATTATTCTCAAGGTCAGAGTAGCTTAGCTTCATAGCATGCCATCGTTACCTTGAAGGCCTCTGCACTGAAGGGCCATGAAGGCTAGAGAGTCCTTCCAGCCAGAAGCAATTGAGAGAATGAGGGGTTATTTATTACTTGATGCTTTAAGTAGAGAAAGTGAAAGCTGTAGAATTATATTTCCTGTTTGGTGTCACTATGACAGGACTGAATTTATTTGTAATTGAGCCGGTAAAGCAGTTGAATAGTAATCTTTCCCATCTCAGGGCCATTGGGCCACTTCTTTGCCTAGAATGTTCTTTCTTTTTCTAATTTAGGTCGATTAATTCATCCTTCTGATCTTGATAATTCTTATCATCCTTCTGATCTTGGCTTGTATGTTAAGTCCAAAGATAACATCTCCGATCCTCCTAACAAAATTAGGTACTTTCTGGTATTCTTTCTTACAGAAATGTGTTCTTTTTCACTTGTAACAGTATGCAAATATATATTTATTTCCATTATTTATTCAATGGTATTTATTCTTTACATTATTTATTCTTTCTTATAGAAACCTATTCTTTTCCCCTTGTAACAGTATGCAAATACATATTTATTTACATGATTTATTCTACACCTGGTTTCCTTCTGTACTCTAAGTCATATCAGCGCACTCTGTTTCCAGGACAGGTATGTAATAAATGCTCAGCAAAAAGAGTTGTTAAATGAAAGGATGAAGAATTAATTCAAGCTGGCACTCTTTAGACTCTTGAGGAACTGTTGTGAAGATTCTCTGGTGCTGTTGGTGTCAGCCCTTTGCCTCCAAGAAAAATGCCTTGATTCTTATGTCACCTAGTTCTGTCTCTAGGACTCTAGAGGGCTCAAACAAGTTTAAAGTGGATTTTAGAATTTGAAAGTGGCAAGTGTCTGAAAAACTACATGGGATTCTGAAGGCCAGGCTATTAATCTTTGGAAGAAAGAATAAGACAATGAGTGAAGGGCAGATAATAGAGATAATAGCCAAAAGAGATTGAGGAATATTCTCTGTATAAGTTAGAGTTAGCTTGGCTACATGTTATAGAACAGACGTTAGCAAATCATAGCCCACAGATCAGCTCTGCCTGTCACCTATTTTTGTAAATAAAATTTTATTGGAACACAGCCATATCCATATGTTGTCTCTGCCTGCTTTTATATGATAATTGCAGAGTTGAATGGTTGCAATAGAGATCATATCACCCACAAAACAAAATATTTACTCTCTAGTCCTTTGCAGAAAGTTTGCTGACCCCATTATAGAAAATCAAAACAACTGGTTTAAATGATACGCATGTTTTCTCTCTCCCATGGAGTAGTGCAGAGGTGGCCAGTCCAGATTGGTATAGTGGCTTCACATCCAAGGACTCAGGCTCCTTTCTTTTTTTAGTTCTATACTCTAGGTTATTTCAGGGTCTATACTCTAGGTTATTATGGGTGCTGGAGCCCCAGCCTTCATTCAGACAGCAGAAAGCAATAGGAGAGAAAAAGACATGAGACATGTCTCTCATCAGAATTAACTTGTTTCTTAGAAGTTCTGCACAATATATCTGCTTATAACTCATTGGCCATTACTTAGTCTAATGGCCAAATCTGACTATAAGGGAGTCAGAAATAAAGTCTTTTATCTGGGAACATCAGCACCTAGAATAAAAGTGTTTTTATGTGAGTGAGAAACAAGGGGAAGATGGATATGTGACATTATCTCAAGACAACACCAGTTGTAGTAACCTTAAAGATGAAAGATAATAATTATAAGCCAGATTACCTTCCTCTGACAATCAGTTGTGGCTTAGGTGATTTATGTGGCCGAATCTGGTTCTTTAGCAAATCCTAATAAGATGTGGAGAAAGAATATTTGATGAGGTAATTATTTCAGTATACAGCATCCACTAGATGGAGCCAGTGTCTGACTCACAGTTCTCCATATTTTAGATATCTTTTATTTTGAAGCACTTATTTTAGACAGTAGCTATTTTTCTTAGGTTAAAAATTCTTGGCTAGATTGATGAGATGGACAAAAGTTACATATCAGTTGAATCAAGGAAACAGAACTTGTGTTGGAAAGAGTATCTGGTTTGGGATATCTATTCATTAACACTTACCTGGGACTTTTGTGTTTTGTTTTATTGTAGAATCTATACTCCATTCACAGAAGACACCGAGACTGTGGGCCAGAGAGCCCTGCACTCCATTCTAAATGCTGCTATCATGATCAGTGTCATTGTTGTCATGACTATTCTCCTGGTGGCTCTATACAAATACAGGTGCTATAAGGTGAGTGAGCATGAGAGAGAGAGCTTTGCTTTCTACCATGTTCTTTTTATGATTGGGTTTTCTATCATATGCTTTACTTGGTCTAGTAAAGAAAAAGTTCTTATATTCTAGAACTAAGTTAATTTTTTGTTTTTTCCCCCCTCATTGTGGAACATTTGAAAAATACAGAAAGGCATAAATGGAAAATAAATGTTTTCATATTATATCACAATCTAAATGGTTTTAATATTTTAATTTGTGGTATATTTATGACATTCCAAAGGGATATATCCTAAGATCTTTGGGATTCCCTCATTCACAAATAGCATTATAGGATATAATTGTCCCCATAAAATAATATATAACTTTAAAAATTTATATTTTCATACTTGAGTACAGAACAATAAAACCACTTTCAGATGCTGGTTTAAACTTATTGGTGACTGGCTACATTCTCACTTCTAAACTGGTAACCATCCATTTCCTCACCATCTTTCCTGCAGTAGCACTAATTCTTTCCTTGGGAAGTAAGGGCAGGGGAGGTTGTGCAGGAAAGACCCAGGCCCAACTTTCCAAGCCTCTGCTCCCCTAACTCACTCTCTAGCTGTGACTCATTCCTGAATTTCAGCCACCTCGCACGTTTCAGATTCATGCCTCAAAAAAAAAAAAATGACCAGTTATTACAAGCCGTGAGCCTTTAGAGTCCTTCTCAAATAAATATTAACTTTCCAAATATCGAAGTCTATTATTTCTATATATGTTTTTTAACATGGATAAAATAAAGTATAATTAGTATGTGTCCTTTCTTTACTTTTATTTTGGCATAAGCATTTTTCCATATTACAGATTCTTAGAAAATATGTTTAATAGCTATATAATATTTAACTCAATGGGCACATTGTAATGTACTTTCCCTAATTTCACTCATGATGGACATTTAAATTGTTTTCAGTTTTTCACTATTCTTAAAAAAAAGAGTCTTTATACATAGAGCTTTTTCAAATTTTTAAATTGTTTTTTTAGGATGAAATCCTAGACACAATTTCTGGGACAAATATACATATTTTGATATTCAAAATTTCCTTTTCAAAATGATAGTATTAATTTGTACTTAACACTAGTAGTGAATGAGACAATCTGCCTTATCCCACCTTCACCATTATTGAATTTTTAAAAAAAATCTTCACTAATTTTTATAGGCAAAACAAAATGTCTTAATTTGCATTTAGTAGATTACTTTTAACATTGAATACCATTTCAGTGTTAATACACTCTAAAATTATACAGTTTAACCTTGCTTGTTGAATGTTTGAGTGGGTGGAAGTGTTAAGCTAAGTGATGACCATGTGCACTCTGACATTAGCGTATGGGGAAGACTGGAGAGGAAATGTGGGTGTGGTGGTGCCAGGTAGTCATCAACGCTCTGAAAACCAAAGAGCAAATGAAGTAAACCCACATGGGCAGTTTCCTCCCCCCACTGTTTAAATGTGCTCACGTCTGAAATACTTTTCTTGATCCTTTCTCACCACATATGTATATTGTCTACATGTAAGTGTTTACCTGCCAGTTTCATTTCTCTGATTTATTGGACTCACTTTGTGACTTTGATCTGGATTATGTACTACTTTTATTCACATTTTATTGGGAGTGTGTTTAGGGTCCTATCCCTACCTGCACATCTTGGGGATGTGCCCACAAGTCCACAACAGCTTTAAGAGGTTGCTTTTCTGAGCTGCTTCCTTTCTGTGATCTCTCTGATACTTTCATGTTCATCTTGTGTAATAGATTATAAAAATCAAATTCTGATTCTATTTCTCACATTAACTAAGATTCATATAGTACCCTGAATTCTGCATAATAGTGATGGACTGCTAAGTTTTTCAAAGAATTCGTAATAGTGATACGTTTGTAATGTGAAATAAATGTAGAAAGATTGCAGTACTTACTGAAACTTCAGATTCTGCATATTCTTTTGTCAAATGGTTATGTAGTTTAGAAAGCCTATTTTCTCTGTACAGTTAATGTATGCGTGCAAAAGTCAGCTGAGTATCTGATTTTCAATTTTATTGAATTTTATTCATCAATTTTATTTATTTTATTCAATTTATTGTTTATTTCTGGAATACTACAAAATTCCTCCACTGAAAATATTGCTGTTTTAAAGTTTAAATGTCAACTGTTAACTCTCTTGATAATTTGGCATTTTAGAATTCATTCTTTTTAAAATTTCACCTATTTCTAAAGGAACGAAAGTCTATATATGTCTTGCTGAAATTTCTCTTTACTGTTATGAGTTGTTTAGCCCAAAAGAGTTCTATATAAGAATGCACTGAACCCAAAGCCATATGTGTTCAGTCATTTGAAAAGAATAACATATACAGAAATAATATACTATGTTTGAAGTAAGAAATTTGCAATGTTTTAGGGTCATGGGATCTGTTATTTATATTGAAATTCTTTTCTAGGTCATCCATGCCTGGCTTATTATTTCATCTCTGTTGTTGCTGTTCTTTTTCTCATTCATTTATTTGGGGTAAGTGGTGAAATATTTGGTCTGCTTTTCAGAAATTAAGGGGTCTGTTAGGGGTTTCTAACTTTGACTTAGCCATGTCCTTTACTGATGAATTACTATTAAATTATAATTGTTTCCATATGTAGATCATATTTGGTATATATAAGACAAGTTACTTTTACAAATAGGGATATGCTTTTATTGATTCTTGCTTATAATAAATAGAACTGGCCCTAGCCGGTTTGGCTCTGTGGTTAGAGCGTTGGCCAGAGGACGGAAGGGTCCTGGGTTTGGTTCTGACCACAGGAATGTACCTCAGTTGCAGGCTCAATTGGCCTGTGTGGGAGGCAACCAGTTGATGTGTCTCATATTGATGTTTCTCTCTTTCTCCTCCTTCTACTCTCTCTGAAAAGCAATGGAAGAAATATCCTCAGGTGAGGATTAAAAAATAATAAGCCCAGCTGGGCCTGGCTCAGCGGTTGAGCACTGACCAAGGATCCAGGAGATCGCAGTTCATTTCCTGGTCAGGGCACACGTGGGGGTGCAGGCTCGATCCCCAGTTGGGGGCGTGTAGGAGACAGCCGATCAGTACGACTCTCTCATCATTGATGTTTCTATCTCTCTATCTCCCTTCCTCTCTCTGAAATCAATAAAGATATATTAAAAAAATAGTAAGTAGAACTGAAAGAACTCAAGACTATAATCAGTTTTAAGTCTTTTTCAATGAAGAATTTATTTAAGTCTTTTAGTAAAGAATTTTTTATATTTTTCTAGTAGAAACCTATAAATCAGAATGTTAAGAAAGGATTTCAAGAAACTATATGCATGAGGTAATTGATTTTCAAATTTTTCTGTTGTCTTATCAGTAGGTCTTTTTTTTTCTTTCAAATGAAATCTTATTTGAAAATTTCACATGTAAAATAGAAAAACATAGCCCTAGCCAGTTTGGCTCAGTGACTAGAGCATCAGCCTGTGGACTGAAGGGTCCTGGGTTTGATTCTGGTCAAGGGCATGTACCTAGGTTGCAGGCTCCATCCCCGACCCCGGTTGGGATGTGTGTGGGAAGCAACCGATTGATGTGTCTCTCTCACATAGATGTTTCTCTCTCTCTCTCTCTCTACCTTCCACTCCCTCTGAAAAGCAATGGAAAAAATATCCTCAGGTGAGGATTAAAATAAGTAAATAAATAAATAAATAAATAAATAAATAAAAGAATGAATAAATAAAAATCCTTCCATTGTAAAAAAAAAAAAAAATAGAAAAAAGTAGAACTACTCTGTGGAAGAGAATAGAGAGGCTCGGAGATTTGCCAGCCTGGCGTTTCTCAGCCCCAGTGACAAAGTTTGTAAATCATTGGACTAGCTCTTAAATTAGGAACAGAAGCAATAAAACTAATACATAACTTTCCATGGCCAGGTAGCTCATTTTGTTGGAGCATTGTCCCTTACACTAGGAAAAGGTTGTGGGTTCTATCCCCAGTCAGGGCACATACAAGAATCAACCAATGAATGCATAAATAAGTGGAACAGCAAATCAATGGTTCTCTCTCTCTACCTGTCTCACTCTCTAAAATCAATAAAAATAAAAAAAAGAAATATTTCACAAGATTACAAAGAGAAAAGTAGTAAAAAAATGACCACACTCTTGCATCTAAAGATTAGTCCTGCATCCTTTCAGGAGTTATATATCGATATATTGCTCTCCCTGCTCACACACTATTTCATAAATGAGATCATTTATTTTCCAGACAGCTGTGTCATGTCTATATTCCATGCTTGCATGTGTGTATTATATATATATGTGTGTGTTCGTGTGGGTGTGTATATATATATACACGCACACACACACATATATATATATCCTTTTTAAAAAAGATGTCTATTGATTTGAGAGGGAGAAAGGGAGAGGGAGAGAGAGAGATAGAAACATCAATGATGAGAGAGTCACTGATCGGCTGCCTCCTGCACGCCTCCCACCGGGGATCTAACCAGCAACCTGGGCATGTGCACTGACTGGGAATCGAACTGTGATCTCCTGGATCATAGGTCAATGCTCAACCACTGAGCTACATATATACTGGGCTATATATATGTTGGGCTATATATATGCTTTTTAATGGCTGCACTAAATTTCATTTTATGAAAATAACATCATATATCCTCCTATAAAATTTATTGTACATGTTTAATATCCAATTTCAGATATTTTAAACGAGGGTTTCCCAAAGGTATAGAGTGCTATTTTAGGTGGTATATGGCCTTTTTTAGTTTTTGTATATATTTTTATAGCTATGGTCTATGCTACTGGTTTCCTGTTTATATGAATGATACAGTTATCTGTGAAAATAACTTGAGGAAAAAAGTGAATTAATTTAAAGGAAAGTGTTAAATAATAGCACAGTTGTTATAAGATATGGTAAAAATATGAAGCTGGGCTATGAATATCTAATGCTTGGGAACCATAGTTCTAAACATCGTTTTGATGAAAATTATTGTACACAAATCTTTTTATATCTCTGTTTAATCTTTTTTAGGGAAGTGTTTAAAACCTATAATGTTGCTGTGGACTACATTACTATTGCACTCCTGATCTGGAATTTTGGTGTGGTGGGAATGATTGCCATTCATTGGAAAGGTCCACTGCGACTCCAGCAGGCATATCTCATTATGATCAGTGCCCTCATGGCCTTGGTATTTATCAAGTACCTCCCAGAATGGACTGCGTGGCTCATCTTGGCTGTGATTTCAGTATATGGTAAAACCCAAGATTGACATTTTGTTTATCACAGAGATACCTCACTGGTATATTTTCCTTCCTCTTCCAGTTATCTTGATTTATGAAAATGATAATAGTTATATCCTATAGCTCTTCATTAAATAATTAATTAGCTATGGTATTTCTCATAGAAAGATTTTAATTTTTTTGAAGCTAAGTTCTTAAAAAAATGTTTCATTACTGCCTTTAGTTTAACTCAGTGATAGATTAGTGGAAGGATCCACAGACTTCTGGTCAGAAGACTTAGATTCAAATCCTGTCTCTACCACTGATAGCCTTTATGACCTTTGGAAAGGGACTTAGGCTATTTGAGCTTCAGTTTCCTCATTTAGAAAAGGAACAATGCTTCCCAGAGTTGTAAGAGTTCAGAATATGTGTTGAAAAGCACTAACAGAGTGCTTAACACACATAAAATGCTCATTTAATTTTTAAAATCAAAATTAGATTACCAACTTTTTATAAGGCAACTTGGGTAGAATTCTTTTTTTTTTTTTAAAGATTCACTCTAAGATGATTTTATTTATTTATTTATTTAAATATATCTTTATTGATTTCAGAGAGAGGAAAGGAGAGGGAGAGAGAGAGACAGAAACATCAATGATTGAGAGAGTCATTGATCAAGCCCACAACCGGGCATGTGCCCTGACCGGGAATTGAACCCTGATCGCCTGGATCCCAGGTCGATGCTCCACCGCTGAGCCACGCCCGGCCAGGCAGAATTATTCTTTTAAAAATAAAATTTATTTGGGCAGTATGAGATTCAAATTCATTAGCAACCAGTGTTACATGGGTACTGAATGGTCAAAACGTGGCCTAGCCATGAGTAACCAAGGCGGCTGTACAGGTATGTACTCTGGCTGTTGCCCTGCATGAAAGCGAAAAAGAGATCCATTTTCAGAGGTCAATATGGTCTCTATATTATAACTAGGCAGTGCTCTTTTATTCCTGTACAATTCCTATTAAAATGTCAGGGGACCTATAATAGGAAACCTCATCATCCCCACTTGATTGATGAAGAAAAAGTCTAGGGAAATAGAATTGGATTGGTTCCGTTCCCATATAGAACTAAAGTCAAATACCCTTGATGCCTGACTTCAGGTTATATAATAGTACTTGATGATTTGCAAAGTCCACATCAATTACTCCATAGCTATGATTAAAAATGCCAGTGCTGGACTCCATCCAGTCAGCAACTGGTAAATACTTTGTAGTCAGAGATTTTGCTAATATGTCCTTTCAGTGCTTTTTTCAACAACCACAGTTTGCCTCACCTTCAGAGGGACACATTATATCTTTACCTAGCTACTCATGGGGTACTTCAACAGTCCTAGCATTGCACACAATCTTTGCAGGCTACATCTTAACCATGTCCAACTTTCTCCAGGAGCACAGAAATAACATCACACTGATGATGTCATCCTCTGAAGAGATTCATTTGACAATCTTATTGAAACCATGCAAGTATTCATGAAGGAGCTCAAAAAAGACAGATGGGCGTTTCCCTGTACACAGTACAAGGTCCTGCCACCACAGTGACATTTCTGAAAATTATTTGGTAAACTGAGGGCTTCTGCATCTCTGACACTTTCAAGAAATAGCAGTTGACCATCTCTCCACCCACAATGTTAAAACAAGCCTCAGTATCTTTTAGGCCTTTTGGGGGATCTGTAGGCAACATATTCTTCATTTATAAATTTTATGTAAGCTAATTTATACTATTACTCACAAATTGGCCCACCTCGACAATTGGGGCCCCCTACAACAAAGGGTTCTAGTATCCAAATTGTAATATAACAGTCACTCCCATTAGTGTCCCCTCTCTCTTCCCCCAGAGAATCAGTCACTGTAGAGCTTTAGTAACCTCCTCATACTTCCTGAAACCTCTGGACCACCCATGATGATCATGGATTTCTGGTGTGAGAAACTGTCCTTCCCAGTTCCACGCTCCATGCATTAGAATGGCAGTTTCTAACTGCATATAGCTCTCCTGGACAGGTTCTCACATATCTTTAGGATATGTGAAGCTCCATATCCTTCTATTCCATATTCTTCCTATCATGGAGGCAGCATTCTACAAGCGCAGCTTAGCCACCAGGGCCTCCTTGCTAAGACCAAAATGTTACCTACAGAACTAAATCTGAGCCCTCTAGAGCATCCCACCAACAGGAGAGGGTGGCTTTTTCTGTCCTCAGACGCCTGGCTACCTTGGGAGCTCTTTGGGATGAAGTGAGTGAACAGCAATGGAAGTTTGAGCCCTTTATGGACAGTATCAGCACTACATATGATGGAGCTTACTAGAGAGCTGCTGCTTTTCATTCCTTAATCCAGGCATCCGTGATCAAAGAACGGGATCCAGACCCTGGCCAGGTAGCTCAGTTGGTTAGAACATCATCCCAGTATGCTAGGGTTGCAGGTTCGATCCCCAGTCAGAGCACATATAAGAATCAATCAATGAATGCATAAATAAGTGGAACAACAAATCGATGCCCCCCCCCCTTCCGCTCTCCTCTTTCCCCCTCCTTTCTCCCTCCCTTCCTCTCTAAAATCAATAAAAAAATAAAAAGAATGAGATCCAAGGGTCAGCAAAATTAGCTGAACTTTAGGCAGTCATCTTACCCTGGCCAACAATTGGCTCCACCTGTCTATTGTTACAGATTCTTGGGTCATTGCCAGTGGTCTGGCCGTGTGGTTCTGCTGGTGGTAGCAACAGCAATTGCTTATCCAAGGTTTTCCTCTTGGAAGGATATAACTATGGGAACCTCTTGCCTCGCAAATACCCAAAATATAAATCAACGTTGCACATGTCTCTCTACATAGTAAAGCCACAATACAGGTCTTACTTTATCCACTTTGGAATTCTAGCATAATAGTGACCATTTGACTTCTGAAAATATAAGTGCTGGCCTCTTAACAAGGTGTTCCGTGGAACTTTCACCATCCTTACCAGTCTCAGGCTGCAAGGCGCATAGGGCACCAATATGACATATAGAGCAAGGTAAAATTTAGTTAAATGAAACGTGGCGTATTTCCATAATCGGGTGAATGGTAATAAAGAGTAATAAAGAGTCTGATTCCATTTTTTATATGTATATTAAAAAAAAAAATGATAGTTCTGGAGACAGATTGCCTGACTCTTCTACTCTGTCACTTACTGTCTCTGCGACCACAGCCACATTACTCAACCCCTAAATCTTAGTTATTATGAAGATTAAATTAAACAATATATATTGTACACTTAGAACAATATCTGTCAGTAAATATTAGCTATTATTTTTTTACTGTATAATCCTATGTAGTAAGCAAGGCAGTTACCCTTGTTTTACTGCTAAGAAACCTAAAGTTTGTAGAGGTAAAGTATTTGCCCAGAGTCGGAATCCCAAGTTCAGCATTCTTTCTACTACATTACACTGTTTCTCCCACCAACCTTCTATTTCCTTCAAACATAATATAAATAATTACCTCTACAGAGCTTTGAGTTCCTTTAAAATATGAGACTTTTGTATCTAATATTTAGAGCAGCGATTTTCAACCTTTTCATCTCATGGTGGCACACATAACTAATTACTAAAATTCTGGGGAACACCAAAAAATGTATTTTTTGGCAATTTGACAAAAAAGGTATAATTTTGATTCATTCACACCAGATGGCTTTTGTTGTGTTGGTTGTCATCATTTTTTCATTTGACAATCGAAGAGAAAAGAGGTCAGTACCCCTGACTAAGTAGTCAGGTGTTGCATGTTTTAAAAATTCTGGCACACCAGTTGAAAATTACTTAGAGTAATGATTCTCAACTTTATTTTCACAAGGTCTCAGTATACTTTAATTTGTCACAAAGATTATTCTAGACAAAATCAATTTTAATTCACTTCAATTGCTCTGAAAATAAGGGAGTTTATTATTTAGCAGTTCTATAAGGGGGTATGTGTCATAAAACCAAGATAGTTACAGGACATGGCAGCTTCAAACAGGTTGAAAATCTCATTATTTAGGAGCTCAGCAAATTTCCCTTTTCTTACGCAAAAAAAATTGAAGTGGAAGCAGTGAGAGGAGCAGTTGCTCTGTGTGTGTGTGTGTGTGTGTGTGTGTGTGTTTTATTATAGTAGTAGTAGTAGTAGTATACAAGAAGACATGACCACTTGCAGGTGTGAGGTGTTTTACTTAAATGCATCTGAATGATCGTAATGTCAACATAAGCTGTCAAGTCTTCCTTTACAAATGTAGTTCTACCTGTTTTATGTTTTTAAATGTTTGAAATTATTTTCTATATTTCTGTATTCTGAATTTTCATGACAGAAAATGTAAGAAAAATTGCAGTTGATGGAAAGAGATGGTGATACAATCAAGAATAATTTAGGCATATTGCTTTCTTTCTGAGTTGCTGTTTTTGTGAAAATGTATGTTCTAAGCCCTAAATATTTACGAAGTGCTTTTGACAGGAGAACTAAAGAAATGCTAAACTCTCTCATAGAAAGGTTTATTAGTTATTTTTTTTTGGTTTAAATTTACTGCCCTCTTATTTCAAGTACCCCTAAGTAGTACATATACTATTTTTTAAAAGGAGAGGAGGTAAATCTCTTCTCTGCTCTTCATATTTTGAAAAGTTCAGTCAAATGTCCTCTATTAAATTTCTCTTAGAATAAAGTTTCTGTTTGTGGCTCATAGGTATGGTTTGTTTGGAAATGGCTTGGCCCTGTTTCTGCTTATTGGAAATTGACAGCTGCTCTAGAGTAGTTCTGTTTTGTCATTATCTCTGTCTCTTTTCTTCAAACTGGGAAGACTTATTCCTATAACCCAATGATGATACTTTGTAAACTAACCAAATAGCAGTCAAAATCAAAATGAAATTTGCACAAATCTTCTGTATGGTTTTGTGTATTTTTTTTTAGGTTGCCCCCACCTTCATCAGTTTACCTGCTATTTATTTCATATTCATTCAACATCTTTTTAAAAAAAAAAAGTTTATGAGAGGGAGAGAGAAACATCAGTGTGAGAGCATAACATCCAGTGGCTGCCTCCTGCACGCCCCCTATCAGGATTGAGCCCTCAACTTGGGCAATGCCCTGACCAGAAATCAAACCAGCAACCTTTCAGTGCACGGGATGACTCCCAACAAACTGAGACACACAGGCCAGGGTCATTTAACATCTTTTTGGTTAAAAAAAAAATTAAATCTTTTCCATTGGTTAATTTCTAACACACCCATTTACAAGTTTAGCCAATACATTTTTTCAGATGTCTTTTCTATTTTTCTCTTTCTAGATTTAGTGGCTGTTTTGTGTCCAAAAGGCCCACTTCGTATGCTGGTTGAAACAGCTCAGGAGAGAAATGAAACTCTCTTTCCAGCTCTCATTTACTCCTGTAAGTATTTCGGAATGGTGTTAAATTAGTAAGCTGCTTAGAATTTATAGGAACTGAGACATATGTAACTGTGGTCATTATCATGGTACTTTGTCTCATCCTAAACACATAACATTTTAATGGAACTCCTGAAGAGCTCTACAGATTATTGTCTTCTACCTAACATTGGCTCAAGAGAGTTTTCAGTATGTGTAGAGATAAAAGAAAAATTTAAACAAAAATTTTTTAAAATATGTTTTTATTGATTTTAGAGAGGAAGGGAGAGAGAGGGAGCAGGAGAGAGAGAGAAACATCAATGTGAGAGAGAAACATTCATCGGCTGCCTTCTGCACGCACCCCAACTAGGGAACAAACCCACAACCTGGGCATGTGCCCTGATTGGGAATTGAACTGGGGACCTTTTGGTGCATGGGATGACGCTCAGCCAACTGAGCCACACCAGTCAGCGCAAGAAAGAAGAAATATTTAGAGATTGGGGAGCCAGTATTCTCACTTAAAATCTTTTTAGTCAAGGGTTATTGAGCATTTGTTATATACATGTATTGCAGGTGACTCTTGCCAGAGTTTATGAAAGAATTGTACTGTTCCTTTAGAACATGTTTGCCTTATTTTGGTTTTAGAGTCATACTCTTCCGAATCATTCAGTAAATGCTTTTTGGGCATTGACCTGATCTTCTCCCGTAGAGCACTGTGGAGGACATAAAGATGATTAAGATACTTTGCCTTCCGTCAAAGCTCATTCGCTTACAATTTAGAGGTGAGATAAGACAAGTATACAAATAAGCAACATCCAGGGCAGAATGTTATCAGAGTCAGAAGAGGCACAGTCAAACTGTAAAGAGAGTTCAAAAGAGGGAAAATCTGGCTGGGGACTCATGAAGACTTCCTGGAAGAAACAGCATTTGGATTGAATCTTTTTAGTTATTTTTGTTAATCCTCACCTGAGGATATTTTTCCATTGATTTTTAGAGAGAGTAGAAGGGAGGGAGAGAGGGGGGAGAGAGAGAGAAACATCGATGTGAGAGAGACACATTGATCAGTTGTCTTCCGAATGCACCCCAACCAGGGCCGGGCATAGAACCTACAACCCAGGTACATGCTCGTGAGCGGGAATCGAACCCACGATTCTTTGGGGCAAGGGCTGACGCTCTAACCATTGGTCAACACTGGCCAGGGCTGGATTGAGCCTTTTAAGGAGTTAGTATTGCAGCAAGCACAAATGGAAACCAATTCCGAAAGTGGGCTTGTCACAAAGAATGGCTTGGAGGTATAAGAGTGGGGCCTCTTTATCAAATTTAAAGTGTTCAATTTGACTATAACATGGAGTACAAAATGAGGAGAGTACTAGAGAGCGTTTGGAAAAGCAGATTAGGGAAAGATCCACGGTAGCTTTGAGTGACTGGTTTAGCTCTCTATGCTTTTCATGATCACTGGAGAATCATAAAAGGTTCTTGAGCAGAAGGTTAAAAAATAAGAATAAAGAGTATGTGACAGAGACTAGATGTGAACCGCAAGCCTGAAATGTTTACTGTTCAGCCCTTTACAGAAAGAGTCTGTTGACCCTTGGTTTCTGTAGTAATATTAAATGTTAAAACAAAAGAGTTGATGGCAATATTTTTTCATACTTGCATAAAAAAGAAAATCAAATAAATACCTTTGCTGACTTTGTTGCCAAGAAGACTACAGAAATCTATAAATTTTGTATGTGATGGTTGCCCTTCTGTTTCTCTTATTTGGGTTTGGATGTAGCTGAACAGTGTATTGCCTGCCTGGCTTATGTTGACTTTCATCAGTTAGTTGTGTTATTGTGTAATGTAACTTGTTTGACCTCAAAATAATAAAGCCATGAATAAGTAACTATGCCTGTTATAGAATTTTCAGCCTTTTTCTTGTGTATTTCTTTCATAAGTTACTCAAGAAGCCTAAAGTATTAGGAACATGGGTATAATAATAAAATCAGTTTTAAAAAGCCAGAGAGACATAGATACCAAGTATTTTGTTTAAAATTGCTTACTGTGACCAGGTTGGGCAATTGGTTCCTGCTATAGTCCTGTATAGAACATGTTTATATATAATTTTATATTATTGTTGATGCAGTTTCAGGATAAATTCCCAAAAGTAGTATTCCTGGGTTGAAGGGTTAAGGCATATGTAGTTTTGTTATATGTTACCCAGTTCCCTCCAGTAGGATCTATACCATTCTTAATTCCACTGCAATATGTGAGAAGCACCATTTAAAAATATTCATATTGTGTTTAACTAAAACACGACAGAGATATGTGTGTATATCTAGATGTATATGTGTATGGAAGGGACACAGAAGAGGCCCATTGACTCTCCCCTTTATGTTTATTGCTTTTAACCTTTTTTTCCTATTCTCTATATGTAACACAGGTTAGCCTTATTGAAAACCCCAGAAATGAGACCTAATATGAAGGAAACTTATTCCATGCATTTTTAGAATTATAATAAACATCTGATACTCTTGTGAACCCTAGTTTGTCCTCTAATTTTGTTCCAAGAAGTAATTTTTATCTGTGAATCACACTATTTTAGGATATTCAACTAGTCCAGCTGTTGTCTCAGTGGATCTTGCTGGCCTAAACAGTTTTCCTTTTGGTTACTTTTCAGGGACTGTAACTGATGATGAAGTTTTACAATAGCAGCTGCAGTTTTAAAGCTACAGTAAACATTCAGTTTCAGAATTTTTTATATGCCAAAATCAAAGAGAACCTTTTGTAGTTTTGTTTTTTTAATTCATCTTTATTGTTGAAAGTGTTACAGATGTCCCCTTTCCCCCCATTGTTAAGGATTCTTAAGGGGACATGAAGAAGATTGGTGATTTGTGTAGAGAACCAATGGCCTCTGTCTATTCATGCAGTTTCCCTCTGTGTTCCCAGTGCTTACCTGGACTTTTGTCTTCTTTCTCAACAGCAACAATGGTGTGGTTAGTGAATATGGCCAAAGGAGACCCAGAAGCCCAAAGGAAGGTATCCAAAAACTCCAATTATAATGCACAAAGTAGGTGACTTTTATTTGGTAATTTCCTGGGTTTTAGGGTCATCGTCATCTTATATGCTAACAATGAGTTATAAAGAGGTGATTTTAACCTCTTTGGTCATAGATTGCTTTGAGAGTCTCCTGAACGCTGTGGTAATACCCAGTAAATACAGATAAATACTAAGGAGTTCAGATGCTCCAAACCCAGCAGTAGAGCCACAGCACCCTAGGTTAAGAACTTCTGCCATCGAATACCATTAGTACCAGTGTGGGAAGCTTCAAGCTGAGGCTGATTTTTTTTAAAAAAGTAAGCTCTCCAAGCATGTTAAAAATGCAAATCTCATGTCTGACACGGCCAGAGTAACTTAAAAATTTATTTTAGTTGTGATAATGTTTATACTGAGAAGATAAAATATCCCGGGTGGACATGACTTTCTGGAGGATCATGATGATGCCCTAGGAGGGGAGATTGAAAGGCCGACGTGTGGATACTGCAGAAGATGCTAAGGGGAACATAAGTGAGGAGTTATTATTAAAGAGTTGAATAATGAAACAATATCAATAGTCAAGAAGAAAGGAAACTTTTTTTTTTTTTAAAGAAAAGCAAAGGGCTAACCTTATGAGGAAGCTGAAAAAACAGGCAGAATAAAGGTTGGTGAGAGAAGTGAAAAGGGCCTTGATTGAGTTGCTGTTTGTCAAACAAGGAAGAGTTTAGGTTTTATAGAGCCAAGAAAACTGCTGTTGTTTCAGCTTTTAGGTAACTGAGGAGGACACTTTCAACTGAGAATTCCTATTTGGGACCGAAAGACATCGGGCTCATTCTGCAGTGAGCAAGCCGATAGAACAAGATAACATTGTACTAGCAGTAGACCTAGTAGAGAAGTAGGAAATATATCGGAAGAAATTGCTACAAGTTGGGTTATTGTGGTAACCTGTGTTAAGCTAAAGAAAATTAAAAGATTGGTTGTGAATATATATGTTTATATATATGTTAGTGTGAGTGTGTATTTGGCACTTCAAGATTTTATTCTTTTGACAAATGTTGATTGAGCACCTGTGTGCCTGATATTTTGCTAGGCACCAGGGATATAGCACTGAATGAGATATCCCATCCCTATGGAGCTTATAGCCTATTTGGGGAGACACAAACATCCAACACATAATTCATACAGTTGTGATAAGTCCTATAAAGGAGAAGTGTAAGTTGCTGTGAAAGTTTATAGTAGAGGAATTTCATTTATTTTGGAAAGTCAAGGAAGGCTTCACTGAGGAAGTGATAACAGATGGCCAGCTGAAGAATAGAAGAGCTTTTTAGAAATGGAAACAACCTGGGCAAGGTCCTTGAAGTGAAAGGAGCTGGATAAGCTGTAGAGTCCCTCAGTGGAAGTACTGTTGGTATTTTGGGTGGGGCAGTTCCTCATTGTATGAGATGTCTCACATTGCAGGATATTTAACATTCCTGGCCCTCACCCACTAAATGCTAATAGTGGCTTGTAGGTATTACAGTAACCAAAAACTCCTTCAGCATAGTTATTTCCAAACACCCCCTGGAAGGGAGGTGCTGCCCTTTAGTTGAAAACCTCTAGAGGAACTAGAAATTAGATTGGAACAAAAGGGCATAGAACTCCAAGAGGGATTGTCTGTACAAGGGAAAAAAATAACAGGAACTGGGAGGTTACCTGACTATGAACTCTGTTAAGACTTTGGGGATGAATTAGTTATAATACATAGAAAATTAGTCAAGGGGAAAAATGAACTAGTTTTCCAGGGGAAACAAAAAGTCATACGAAAGAAGCAAGTGTAATTAGAGTATATTCTGGTTGTAGCAAAGTAGTTTAGTTGTGAATACTATTTGCATTATGATAGTATAAAAACTGAACATAAAATTATGACATATTGAGAATATGGGGAGAGTTAAATTTACATGTGTGCATGAATATGGGAGCTATGTTTCATTTTCCTGTAGGAAGTGACTAAGTTTTCACATAAAATAAAAACATCAAGATATAGCACTGTGAGCATGCTATTTATAATTAATTATGAAGGTCATTACCAAAAGAAACAGCTGAAGGGGTTGAAAGTAGGAGTGAGGAGGGAAGGGGCAGAGCAGGGACTGCTGTTTTTATTTATAAACCTTATGCTTATATGATTTTATAAACTCCAAACCAGGGAAGAGGAGACCTGGTTAAGAAAAAGAATACAAATTACAAATACAAAATTGCAAGTGCCCCTCCCAGAAAAAAAACCTATGCAAGGGAGAGGCCTGAAGTGTGCAAACTTCATTTATTCATGGTAAATCTACCTCTGCTATGGACATATGTCACGTTTATTAAAAAAAAGGGGGAAAAGTATTATCAACTTCACTTAATGTATTATAATTATTTTTGATGTGTGGAAGGTTCTCAAGTCTATCATGTTATGCTCACAATTTTCAGTCAGACTGACAGTCATTATGATAAAATGACTAGCTCATAAAAAAATGCAATCCCCCCCCCCAGTAGTGGTCTGCTTTTATAACTTATTCACTAAAACCAGTGCTGAGTTAGGAAGCTTTCAGCTGCAAACATCAGAAAAAACAACTCATTGGCTTTAAACAAAGACATGTGTTCTCTCACATGACCAGAATCCTGAGACATTTATAGGGTTGGTTAATTTTGTGGCTTATTGGTGTTATCAAAGGCCTAGGTTCTTTCTGTCTTCCTGCTGTGCCATCCTTAAATATAGGCTTGGTCCTTAGCCCACTGCTCCTTATGGTCACAAGATAATAAGTACAGTTTCAGGCATCATATTCAGATAAGACAACATCCAAGGGGAGAAAGGAGCAGTTAATAAAGAGTGAGAAAGATTTTCCCCAAATTCCCAGTAGACTTTGCCTCGTCACACATTGACTAGTGCCAAGCCCACAGCCTTAGAGCTTTCATTGGGAAGAGGAGTCATGGGAGTGCCATGCTTGGCTTGGATTGATCGGGATTTACCACCTGAGTCATGTAGGTGAGAGGTGGAAACCCAAACAAATCAGGACTTCCCTCAGAAATAAGGGGAAAAATGGCTATTGGGTAAGCAATCAACAAGTCCTGCTATAGCCCAAGTCTTGTGGTTTAAGAGCCAGCTAACCTAGTTACAATGACAATCAAGTAATTACTGTTTCCGTGTAATTTCCTTAAAGGTGTTAAGACATTTTTCTGAACATTACAGTTGTGATTTCTACGTTCTCTTGAAGGCACAGGGAGTGAGTCACAAGACCCTGTGACAGAGAGTGATGATGGTGGCTTCAGTGAAGAGTGGGAAGCCCAGAGGGACAATCGCCTGGGACCTCATCACTCTACAACTGAGTCGAGAACTGCTGTACAGGAAATTTCCAGCAGCATCCTAGCCAGTGAGGACCCAGAGGAAAGTATGTGCATTTCTCTAGTTGAAAAGTCATGGATGCCTTTAGGTGTTGCAGCATCAGACTATCCCAAAATAAAATGAATTGAGAGTGTTACAGTCTAATTCTACATAACAGTACAGCTTTTTGTGGGAAATACCAATAGTTGGTGCTTTTCTCATTTGTTAGTGGGTCAAATTTTGCCCCTCAGGTTTTTTAAATTAGCCCTTCACAGCCTGCTCTTTGGCATTTGTTTTATAAGGCCAAAGATTTCTTTTTCTTTTCTTTTTTTTTTAATATACCTTTATTGATTTCAGAGAGAGGAAAGGAGAGGGAGAGAGAGAGAGATAGAAACATCAGTGATGAGAGAGTCATTGATTGAGCCCACAACCCGGGCATGTGCCCTGACCGGGAATGGAACCCCAATGGCCTGGATCCTAGGTCGACGTTCAACCATTGAGCCATGCCCTGCTGGGCGACCAAAGATTTCTTTGAAATTATTTTTCCAATAAGACTTCATGGCTGCAATAGGCTTGTGTACAAATATTTTATTAATATTTTTCACTCTTTGCTGTACAGAGACCTATGGATTTGAATGGTTCAACCTTTTACATTGTTATTACCTTCGTTGGCAAGCCCCTCCTAACTTCAGAATAGTATTTTCTTTATCTGGGAGCAATATAAAGTAATAATGGACATTCTTTCATCATCTTAGCATCCACCACTACAGTCATCTCTGACTGCATTAGTGTTTTAAACCAGACTTACAGTTACTTAGAAAAGTCTCTGTTTATACTAGAAATTGATTTCTAAAAAGGTACATATGTCTTCTGGACAACCTTTTATATCTTTATTGATTTCAGAGAGAGGAAGGGAGAGGGAGAGAGAGAGATAGAAACATCAGTGGTGAGAGTTGTCATTGATTGGCTGCCTCCTGCACACCCCCTACCGGGGATCCAGCCCGAAACCTGGGCATGTGCCTTGACCACGATCTCCTGGATCCTAGGTCAATCCTCAATGGCTGAGCCATGCTTGGCTGGGCTAAACAGAGTTTTTCATTAGAAATGTAAACCATTTTTATTCAGTGTGAAGACAGTTGGTCTTCTAGAGAATTTCAAAATATACTTCCCTCCTTAGTCTTAAAATTGACTAGAGTAGTGAAATTAACCTGTTATTTCCAGGAGTGGGAATTTGACTCATGAAGATTCTTTTTCTATTACCTCGAGGAAGGAGAGACATGGATTTTGCTAATTTTTCAAATAGAGGAAGAGATTTTAGTAATATAAAGGTAAAAGAATAAGTTTCAGGCAGTTTTTAATGTTTATATTTATTTAAAAGATAATAGGAAATATTCATTATTAAGCTATTATATTTAAGCTAGGCACATATTATACTGCTAGAGGTCATTTAGAGAAATCTTGCAATTAAAGTGAATAGTCACCATCATTTATTGTCTTTACTATGTCTTGTTTGGTAGACCAGCAAATGCCCCCTTTTAATATTAAAGGAATACCAAAATTACTTAAAATTATTTTTCAGAGTTGACAAAAACAAAACAAAAAACAATAGAAGGCTTAGACTACCATTAGCAAATAGCAGGAAAATACTTCATTTCTTTTTATAGCCAAATAAAATTCGATTGTATGGATATGCCACAGTTATTATCCATTTTTCAGTTACTGAACATCTGGGTTGTTTCTGTTTTTTGCTTACATGCATACTGTTGCTATGAACATTTATGTAAATGTCTTCGTGTAGACATACATTTTTATTTCTCTTGGGTATTTACCTAGCAATGGAATTGCTGGGTCATATGGTAACTCTATGTTTAACCTTTTGAGAAACTGCCAGGCTGTTTTCCAAAGCAACTATACTATTTTACAGTCTCACCAGCAGTGTATGAATGTTCCAGTTTTTCCACATCCTCACCACCACTTGTTATTATCTTTTTTATTATAATCATACTTGTGGGTATAAAGTGGTATCTTATTATGGTTTTGATTAGCATTTCCCTAATGGCTAATGATGTTGAGTATCTTTTTGTGTGCTTGTTGGTCATTTGTATGCTTTCTTTGAAGAACTGTCTAGTCAAACACTTGCCCATTTTTAATATCTTCTTTAAAAATTTTTTTCATCCTCACCTGAGGATATTTTTTCCATTCCTCTTTCAGAGAGAGTGGAAGAGAGAGAGAGAGAAACATCCAATCGAGAGAGACACATTGATTGGTTGCCTCTCTCACGTGCCCGGACTGACCAGGCCGAGCTTGCAACTGAGGTACCTGCCCTTGGCCAGAATCGAACCGAGGACCCTTCAGTCCACGGGCCAATGCTCTAACCACTGAGAAAACTGGCTAGGGCTTATATAATATCTTTTTTTTATTATTGAGTTGTAATAGTTCTTTATATATTCTAGACACAAATTTCTAATCATATAAATGCTAAATTTTTCTCCTGGATTATTTTTAAAAATTCATTTCTGTAGCATTTTTTTCCTGAAAAATTTAGTTTTTTATAGTGTTTTCTGTTTGGAATCAAAATTCTTTGTAAGGCTATCTTTTTTAAAAAAATATATCTTTATTGATTTTAGAGAGAGGGAGAGGGAGAGAGACAGATAGAAACATCAATGGTGAGAGAGTCATTGATCGGCTGCTTCCTGCAAGCCCCCCACTGGGGATCAAGCCCACAACCCAGGCATGTGCCCTGACTGGGAATTGAACAGTGATCTCCTTGATCATAGGTCAATGCTTAACCGCTGAGCCACGTTTGGCCAGATGTGTTAGGCTATCATTTGCTTAGTATGTTGCAAGAACAATTTCTGTATTATTTTTATCTCTGGTAACAACACTATGAAATAGCTGTGTAATTCCCATCTTATAACTGAGGGATTTGAAGATTGAAGTTAATCAACTTGCCTTGGATCACACAAGTACTTAAATATTAAGTAGTAGAACTGGGCTCTTCTGCACCCCTGCAATGATGAGTGTATTCATCAGCCTGGAAGGCTAGCTCGCCCTGTAATTCATAGTATCGAATTTTATGGGTCAGATGTTCATCTTTTCCACTAAGAAAGACTTTATTCTGGCTTCCATGATTTAAGAACACTATTTTTTCTCAGTCATATCTTATTAATCAGCACTCTGCTTCCTTCTCACCCACTTGTGGAACAGACTGCTTCTCAGGTTCCTCAGCCCTTGTCTTCCGGAAATGGCTTCTCTCACCCAGGCAAAAGAACTTTAAGACCAGGATCAAACTTCAGTAGGAAATGGTTGTTTAACAACTAGAACAGTGAAAGCCAATTGTAAAGCTATGGATTAATATTGGACCTTAAGTTAAAGCCTATCTTTGAATCTATAGTGTTTGCTTGATTGTTTATCTTTATGAGAAGAACTTACCAGGTTAAAAATGTTTGACAACGGAAACCCTAGGGCCTTTGCATTTCTGTAGAATTTTGGGGATGAGCTTGTTAATTTCTAGAATATCCTAAACAATTTTGAAAGAGGAGGAAAAAGTTGGTGGACTTATAGGATCTGATTTCAAAATTTAGTCTAGGGCCCTTGTAATCAGGACAGGCATAAAAATCAGTGGGACAGAATTGAAAGCCCATAAGTAAACCCTCATAGGTATGGCCAGTGATTTTTACAAAGTTGCTAAAATAGCTCAACAAGAAAAGGCTATAATGTTTTCAGCAAATGGTCCCGGGTCAGGTGTATGTCCACATGCAAAAGAGCGAACGAAAACCCTGCACCGCCTCATCCATCTTGCACTCAATAAAAAAATCAGCTCAAAATGGATGGATCATAAACTGAAATGCGTAAGTGGTAGAACTGTCAAACGGAGACAATTTCATGACCTTCTGTTGGACAAAGAGTTCTTCACTACATCACTGATAGAAGAAAAAATTGATAGATTGGACTTTGTCAAAATTAAAAACTTTTATACTTCAAAATATACCATTAAGACAGATGTTTGTTACCCACATTCATAGCATTATTTACAATAGCCATGAGGTGGAAGCAACCCAAGTTCGAATACATAAACAAAATGTAGTATATACATGCAATAAAATATTACTCTGCCTAAGAAAGGAAGGAGGTTCTGATATGCTATAACATAGATGAGCACTGAGGACATTATGCTAAGTAAAATAACCCAGTCGCACAAAAAACAAATACTATATGATTCCACTTATATGAAGTACCTAGAGTAGTCCAACTCAGAGAGAAAGTAGAATTATGATTGCCGGAGAGCTGGAGGGAGAGAGAAAGGAATTATTGTTTAATGGGTACAGAGTTTCAGCTTTACAACAGTGTGAATGTGTGTAATGCCACTGGCCTGTGCATTTTACCACAATTAAAAAATTTTTTAAACATGAAAAAAGGGAAAAGAAGCCACAGACTGAGAAAATACTGCAAATCATATTGCAAGTCCTGTTAAAGAACTTGTACTTAGAATATATAAAGAATACTTATAACTTAATAATAGGAGGATAACCCAGTAAAAAGTAGGGAAACACTTTGAATAGACATTTCACCAAAGGAGAAGTATAATGGTTAATAAACACATGAAAAGATACTCAACATAAGACTGGCTATAATAAAAAAAACTAACAATACCAGGTGTTGGTGAGCACGTGAGGAAACTGGAACCCTCATGCATTGCTGGTGGGAATGTAAGCTGGTACAGTCAGTATGAAAAAGAATTTGGCAGTTTCTTGAAAAGCTAAACATAAACTCACCATATAACCTAGCAATTGCACTTCTGGGGATCTACTCAGTGGAAATGAAAACAGTCTGTCCACACAAAGATACGCATGTACGGTAATGTTCATGGCAGCACTATTCATAATAGCCCCAAACTGAAAACAATCCAAATGGCTGTCAACTGGTAAATGGATTCGCAAACTTATAGTATATTCATAATGGAAAAGTATTTGTCGGGAAAAAGGAACAAACTCCAGTCATGAAGTATCATGGGTAAACCTCAGAAACATTAAGTGAAAGACGCCAGTCACAAAGTACTTTATAATGTATGAGTCCATTTCTGTGAAATGTCTAGAAATGGCAGATTTATAGAGATAACAGATCAGTGGTTGCTTAAGGCCTGGGGTGGGAGTGAGTATTAACTAAGCAGGCACAAAGTATTTTACTAGGGTATTAGAAATGTGGGGGATTGTGAAAATGGTTATACAACTCTAAATTTTTTACAGTCATTGAATTCTACATTTACTTACACAAATAGGTGAATTTTATTAAACAAATTGTACCTCAATAAAGCTGTTTTTAAAATGGGGGATGATGATTATCTCATAGGGGTTCTTGTGAGGATTTATTAGAACAAGTGCCAGGTATAAACTAGGCATTCAATAGATAACAATTATTATTTATTGTTGTTATTATTTTTGATAAGTAACAGCAGCATCTGTGGTTAAGATTCCAGTCAGCCACATAGAATCTGAAACTCCTATTGGAAAAAAATAAAAAACCAAAAAAACAACAACCTAGCTTAAGCCTGATTTTGTATGATATCATTTACTGACTTCTCATCAGTGCAGGGTGGAGTGGAGCAGTGATATTTTTGAATTGTGAAATCATAGCAAAGAGTGACAAACTTTTTATATTTGTAATCTTTCCTTTTTAGGGGGAGTAAAACTTGGATTAGGAGATTTCATTTTCTATAGTGTTCTGGTTGGTAAAGCTTCCGCAACAGCCAGTGGAGATTGGAACACAACCATAGCCTGTTTTGTAGCCATATTAATTGTAAGTATACGCTAATAAAAACATGTCAGAATGCCTCATCTCAAAACTCTGATTATACCATCACTTCAAGGCAGTCCTGTTTTAACCCCAGCTGGGCTGAGTGTTCCAATCACCTGGGGAACTTTTTTTTAAAAAAAAAAAAAGTCTTTATTGATTTCAGAGAGTGGAATGGAGAGGAAAAGAGAAACATCAATGATGAGAGTCATTGATTGGCTGCCTCCTGCACGCCCCCTGCTGGGGATTGAGCCCACAACCTGGGCATGTGCCCTGACTGGGAATCGAACCACTATCTCCTGGATCATAGGTGATGCTCAGCCACGGAGTCACGCTGGCAGGGCAAAAGTTTTAAAAACAAATAATTAGACTTTAGCTGAGTAGTTCTCCACCTGGCCACACATTAAAATCACTTGGGACCTTTTATAATTTTTTCTTTCTCGTTGCTTTTCCAAGAGAGTAGAAGGGGGAGAGAGAGAGAAACATCAATATGAGAGGACACATCAATTGATTGCCTCTCGCACACACCCTGACTAGGGCCAGGGATCGAGCCTGCAACTGAGGTATGTGCCCTTGGCCAGAATTGAACCTGGGACCCCTTCACCCTTGGGCCGGTGCTCAACCACTGAGCAAAATCAGCTAGGGCCATTTGGGACTTTTAAAACTGTGTGTCCCCACCCTGAGATATTCTTACTTAATTTGTTTCAATTGTGCATCTTATTTTTAAAGATACCCAGGAAATTCTGATAAATCCCTCTGATTAGGAAGCACTATTTCAGGCAGCATAGATATGTAGGAAATTAGCTGTGTCTTTAAAGGGGTGAGCAGATCCTAACTTAGTCCCTGAGTTTGGTGGTGGTTTTGTATTTAATGCACAATGTGCAGCGTGCAGCAGGTATGAGTTGAGGAAAGTGGACAAAAATGCATGATCTCGTGTAGATCTTGCTCATAGAGCCACAATGTGAACACTGAAGCTTTCAGAACTATGACTTAAGTAGATAACTCAGAAGACATTTCTTATTGCTTTTTGTTTTTACTAAAGATATTATCTCTCTGATGTTTCATATGCAAGTGAAGTTAGATGAGAGCCTTTATATTGCATTTATTTTGTGATTACATTTGTGATTTGTAATGATGATACAGCCAGTTAGAATTTTCATGTATTTTATTCCCCTTTGAGGTTATTTTTCTGGATGTGTTGTATCTTTCAAGAAGAAAATTACTTATTCTGGATAAACCTGAAATGATGCTCGGCCTCCAGAATTTATGGTTACTGTCTCAGTAACTTGAGTAAAAAATGGACTATATTATATGGCTGCTCTGTGTTTCCAAGAAAGCAGTGATACAATTTTCATAAATGTTTTTTTAAAATCCTCACCCAAGGATATGTTTACTAATTTGAGAGAGAGAAAGAGAGAGAGAGAAACATTGAATGGTTGCCTCCCGCATGTGCCCTGACTGGAGATTGAACCCGAAACCTAGGTATGTGCCCTGATGGGGAATCAAACCTGCAACCAACTGAACCACCTGGCTAGGCACTTTTTATAAACTTTTATTGGCATATTCTGTGTGCCTCTTTGCCCCACCCCCATCCAGCACAAAAAATGCTTTTCGCCTCTGGGATTTTAGCCAGCCAAATGAAACTGATAGTAACCAACTCAATATTTTATTTTATTTTATTTTATTATTATTATTTTTTTTATTTTTAAAAAATATATCTTTATTGATTTCAGAGAGAGGAGAGGAGAGAGGGAGAGAGAAACATCAATGATGAGAGAGTCATTGATTGGCTGCTTCCTGCATGCACCTGACTGGGGATCGAGCTGCAATCCCGGCATGTGCCCTGACCTGGAATTGAACCCTGATCGTCTGGATCCTAGGTCGACGCTCAACTGCTGAGCCACGCCCGGCCAGGCAACTCAATATTTTAGATAGAAATTTTGGTATTATTTAATTTTTTTCAAAAATAGTTTTATTGCCCTAGCCAGTTTTGCTCAGTGATTAGACCATTGGCCCTCACCCTGAAGGTTCTTGGGTTTGATTATGGTCAAGGGCACATACCTTGGTTGTGGGCTCCATCCCTGGCTCAGTCTGGGTGAGTGCAGGAGGCAACCAATTGATGTGTGTCTCCCGCATCGATGTTTCTCTATCTCTCTGTCTCTCTCCTCCCCTTCCACTCTCTCTGAAAAGCAATGGAAAAAATATTCTCAGGTGGGGATTTAAAAAAAAATAGTTTTACTTATTTTCAGGTTCTATTCCTTACCTGGAATTAGGGGATATATATATAATGAACTCTGTGTTACAAAGGAAAATAAAAAGTGTTTCCAGGTTTAATGGGAACATTTGTTCTAAAATTTAACCTCAAAGGATTGTATTCAATTAACTGAATTAAATCAGAGACTTGTGATTGAGCTGTTTTGCATGAAATCCTTTCATAATTATGTCTGAGTTTGTGTATTTTTCCCTCTGCTCCACAGGGTTTGTGCCTTACATTATTACTCCTCGCGATTTTCAAGAAAGCATTACCAGCTCTTCCCATCTCTATCACCTTTGGGCTTGTATTCTACTTTGCCACGGATTATCTTGTGCAGCCCTTTATGGAACAATTAGCATTCCATCAATTTTATATTTAGCAGACTTGTGATTAGACTCCCATGGATTTTTCTCCTTTGACTATAATAAAATCTGGGAAGGACAAAGGTGATTTTCCTGTGTCCACATCTAACAAAGTCAAGATTCCCAGCCGGACTTTTTGCCGCTTCCTTCCACGTCTTCCTGACCACCTGCACTATTGGGCATTGGAAGGAGGTGTCTACAGAAATGGTTTGAACATACGTCACTGTGCTGAACTGAGTCCCTTGTTGCAAAAGCTACCAGATTTTAAGGGACAAGGACAGGAAAGGTGATGGCCAAGAAGTTGTCCTCCCACCAGCAGCTTGATCCTTGGTCAGAGGTGGATTTTACCAACACCGCAGACTCTCGGGATTGCCATTATCAGGAGGTTAAATGAAGTGGTTTAAACCAAACAGGACTCATCTTAAACAACATGTTGAAAACCTAATCAGTCTGTATTGAACTCAACCTTTTCAGGAGGTACTGTGAGGAGAGCAGGTACCAGCAGCAAAATGGAAAGGTGGAAAGGTCAGACTCACTCTCAGACTTTTTTGCTGCAGACTTATTTTTAAATAAGACTTTTTTTTCACCTTGAGTCAAGTCATATGTAGAAGTTGATTTTGACAATTTTTATTTTCAAGCACTGAAACTCATTACCCTCTATGGTTGCCATTTCTTCCTGAGGCCAGTATGAATTTATTTGAGGTTGCTTTGTCTTAAAAGCCTTAACCTCAGGTTCCAAATTCAGTAATTTCTGGAAATAATGGAACTATATAACTCAACAATTCTCTGTCACCCTTAGGTAAATTCTGGTTTTACCCCCAAATTTCTAATTTTTAGACATACTTGTAGGTTTGCTTGCCCTCGATGCCTTCTTTGTTCCCCATATCTCCCTTCACTCCCCCCATAAACGGTTCTTTCATAAGACAGCTCTGTTGTGGTAGCAGATGATCCCATTATTCTAGGATTTTACTTTGTGTGGTGCAAAGAATGTGTTATGAATCAGTGCTATCAGCCTTGCTGTCATAATTTCTTCAATAGCAAATACAATGTGTGCCCAAAGACAGTAGCGTTAAAGAAGAGTAAAATGGCTGGTGAAGCACTCTCTGTCCTGGTGTTTCTTTTTTCAGTATAACCCATTGTCTCTGACAGTAGGTCAGAAGTTAAACCAATAGCCAGAAGCTGGAGGTTTATGAAGTTATGAATCAGTTGGCTCAGTATAAAGCAAGAGTTTAGAGAAAGCCATTATTATACTTGGTGGGCCGGGGGAGAACCTAGGGTCAGAGGAAGAACCAGGTACCAAGAGTAGAAAGAAGGGGCCTCCAACAGCCAGCGGGACAAGATGAGCTAATGTCCCGTGGGCCGATGTGAAGGAAGAGATCCAAGTTATTCCCCCAAACCTCTCAGTGGGCCTTTCATGGTTTCCCTTCTGCCTTACCTTTCATTTCAGTGTACCTTTGTGTGAACTGGGCAGTGGGGTTCAGGCCTGGGCAGTTCAGTTGGACAATGCACATAAACAGCCTTCACTTGTGGGCACATGGCACCTCTAAATGAAGCTTTGCCAGGACACAACCCTTCTTTTGCCACAGACAACCCTTAGTCATGGTGATCAGACTTTAAGCATTTGTGAGGCACTTGGTTTCTCCACGTGGCTGAAGAAGGACCCTCTTCCTCTCTTTCCTGCTGCTCGCTCAGCCTGTTGTACCATCTGGTTTGGGGTTGGTGCTTTGTGGAGTTTTGAATGATTTCTGTCATTTCTTAGAAACTAGCTCTAGGAGAAATGTGCTGGTACTAACCTGAGTATGAGTAAAACCTGGCTCATATTGAGACAGTTGAGAGTTTCAGGAAAAATGAGCTGTACAAAGAAAGAGTGAGGCTGAGAGTAGTAGGTTCACTTATCTCTATTTTTGTTGTTAGCCCCTTTTTTCCAAGATTCTCTTTTTCTCTTCAGACATGTGGCAGTGTTGTGGGTATTCTAGAAAGACACCATTCAACAGCTGCAACAAAGCCCCCTGAACGCCAGTCTGATTTGAAGCCATCTTGAGAGCCCGGATCTAGAGTAGCTTACCTATGCAAGGGTCCTCTCAGAAGAGGATATGTGGTGTATGTTGTTTTGTCCTATGTAGAAAGACTGATGTAAACCTGTCACTTTCTAGAGGATGGAACCACATCTCAGCACAGAGAAAACATCTTGTTCTTTAAATCACCAATCTGAGACACAGAACTATTTTCCAAGTCGTTTTAGAATCAGTTCAGTTGTTTCTGAAATATCAAAATGCTTGTCTTCTACCATGAAAAATCGACTGTCACTAGAGAGAACAGCAGCAATTCCACTGAGGATGTGCCCTCACACAGGCAGGGGCGGCTGTGGAGCCAGCAACACAAATGATAAAGCATGGCCAGCTCAGTAAAAGGAAGGAAACAGTAGGAAAAAGTGACCACTAATGTCTGGGTCGGACTGGCTGACAGAATAAAGTGTTTATATACAGAATGGTGCTGCAAGCTAACCGATGGAAGTACCAACCGCATTTGGAAGATTTGTAGAGTTTCTCCAAAGAGGAAGGGTTCACTTTCCTATTTTTGATTCTCAGTCGGTTAGTGTGTGGTCATGGCTCTCACTATAAATGGCTAAATTTCTTGATCAGAAAAAATGGAAGCTTTCTAAGCAACTTGAAACATAATTGAGCAAATTACTGATTTCACTACCAAAGCAACAACTAAACAGATGGTGTTTTCCCTTTTAAACTCCTGGATCCCCATTTCTAAAAGTTTTCCTTGGTTTTAAAAGCCCTCCTTCCATAACAGATGCCTGAACAACTAACATGTTTAGTATTTGTCCTTTACTGAGCCTCAGAAAACCTTACATATGTTGTCTTGTTCATCATGTGTAGAATGTGAAACAGAAGTTGAGTCACCACATAAGATCCTCCAGGGCCAGGCTTCTCGAGGAAGCCTCTGATCTTGACTCCCCGGTGCCCAGCCGTGCATATTTCCCCACCTGCGATCTAGCCCTGGAAGAAAGCGTTCCAACGCCACTATGAAAAGATCTGCCCAGTCTCTTCCATGGTGCTGGAGCCTAAAGGTGCAACGATGGTAAGATCTGCCCTCAGAGCGACGCTCTAGTCTCTTGTTCTCAGGTATATGCGTCCTGAACTTCTCTAAAATATTGGGTACTTGTCAGGAACCCCTGTCACAGTTACTATCATTGAGGGCTTATAAAATTGATGTTAAAAAGGTGATTTGATTCTTCCAGAAATGCATCCTTTCAGTCAAGTACTCCTTTTTCTCTAAATTTGCTTTTGGATAGTCTATAAAGAACACTCCACCTACCATTTTCACCTCCAAGAGTGTTGTGAATGTTGAGTTTGGGAAGAGACTTGAAAACTGGACATTTGGTTTTGCCCTGGGAAGAACCATCACCATCTTAAGTTTGAGCGCAGAAGTGATCCTTGTGATTGTTCCTGTTTTTAAATTCCCAAAGCACAGGAGATGAAAAATAATGGTTTCAGCTCTCCACAACCCTCGTTGAAACTGCCAGCAAGGCTGCCATCATGCCCATGTCCCAAATCATCTGGATGGCATCATCTGAACAGTTCTCCCCTCTGTAGGAAACACCTCAAACGTGTGTATTAAAAATCAGCCTGGCCTGGCTGGGGTGGCTCAGCGGTTGAGCATTGACCTGGGATACAGCAGATCGCAGTTCGATTCCCAGTCAGGGCACATGCCCAGGTTGCAGGCTCGATCCCCAGTCAGGGGCATGCAGAAGGCAGCCGATCAGTGACTCTCTCATCATTGATGTTCCTCTCTCTCCCTCTCCCTTCCTCTCTCTGAAACTAATAAAGATATATTAAAAAAAAAAAAATCAGCCTGGAGCTGAAACGAACCTCTTTCTTGAATTCAGAGCCGTTTCCCAGGGCCTCAGGCAGCTGCAACATTGCCCTGAGGAAGTAGTTGGGTCCCTCTGGGCCCTGGAGTGTGATGTTAGCACTTTAGTCTTATCTGTGTAGCAGGAAAGAGTTCCCAGAAAGCAATTTTCCTTTTAAAATAAATAATTTTTGCAACAGGGCAGCTTCAAACTCGACTGTCTGGAGGAATGAGTACAGGACTGTTCTGTTTCCTGTGCAATTGGTAGGGCTGGGATGCGGGTTCCACAGGATCATTGACTTTCGCGTGTTGATTGTCTGGCTTTTGCTTTGTACATGAGTCAGGCAGACTGTGAATACATATTTTTTAAATACCATTCAAATTCTTGGTAAGATCTTATTTTGATAGACAGTTGCAGATTTTCCTGTTTGTGAAATGAATAAAGCCCACATGGACCCAGCTGTGCAAGTTTTCTTACGTGAAAGTAGTACGCTATGTAACTGAGAGAAGTGTTCAGCAGTGATCGGGAAACAGTTTAGAAACACACATGCATTGTTTCCGTCCTTCACCCAGAGCACATGGTAAGGATAATAGGCCATACCTCTGAAGGGTGCAATATTAAATCTATGAAATGCTTCCACATGGTTATGCTTAATCCTTAGTTTCTGAAAATAAATGAATGTAAAACCTGTCAAAACAACAACTTACAGGACATGTATGTTGCAATACAATGCAAATATTTCACGTGCTAGAGGATTATCTTTTAAAAATTATTATGTAGGTCATGTCAATGGAAAACACCAACATTACTTTTGTTGACCTGGTAAAGCATAGATTGTCTTAACACTGTCCCCAAACTCCACCAAACCTCGTTTCTAAACAGTGAATAGCACACACTGTTGGGAATTACTGAGCAGAAACAAACTTGTGGCAGAAAAACCAAAGCTGACTTGTCTTCAGAAGAAGCGTATAAAAGATAAATGTATTCCTGGCTACAGTGGCTAAGGGCACCAAGAAACAGGAAAGGCACCTGTTTCCTCCTTTGGGAATCAGGCATCATTGCTTTTGTGATCTTGTAGGCAGTGTCACTGGAGTCCACCACAGAGGCATGATGATTTGTCCTCGGCTGGGAGAGGTATCTGATTTTTGGGGCCCTGAGAGTGAAGAATGCCTGGAGCAGGGTTGAGGAGCAAGAGTAATGAGGCCAGATTTTCTGTATCACTAGGTAAGTACTAGTTTTCTGTAGCCCAACCATTCTCCCTGGGGCAGAGGGGGAGGGGGGCAGGGCACCCTGCCAACCAGGAGCTTAGCTAGGATCTGGTTAAAAGTGAAATGACAGTGTCCTTGACTATAAGCAGCACAATGTTGACTCACTGCATTGAATTTGAATGGGAATGTAGGGCAAATGAGAGACCCACAAAAGAGGGTTATTACACAAGTTTAGGAGAGATTTTTTGGGACTTAATCCTGCACCTAGGTTTTTGTCCATCAAGAACTATAACTCAGGTAATAATTTGTTTTTCAATTTACAAATCGAATTTTCTTATATATACTATAAAACAGTATTACGTTTAAGATCAGAGTTTTCTCCAGAAACAAAGTTTGAACCAAATTTGGGAAGAAGGGAAGGTTCTGAATTGGCAAGAAGGAAAAGAACATACACTAACATCAGGAAGGAAGAATGGGGGGGTACCCAAGGATCATTGGTTTTTGAGTTATAATGATTTATCCAAAAGAAAACTCAACTAGAAAACCAAATCTGTTTCCATATTTACTTAGCATATACCTCCTTCATTAAATGTCAAGTGCCCTGACCTACCACAGGGCCCACCATGCCTGACAGATTGACCCTCTTGCATGGGTGGCACTTCTATGCCTGATATGCCGGGCCCTCTAAAGGGGAGAGACGGAAGAGCCTCAGAAACCAGGCTTGTGGGAGACCTAATTCTTGGGTGACACACTCTTGATCCCTCTGTTTTTTTCCTCTTCTAAACTTGTGTAATAACCCAGAGTCAATTCCTCATGCAAAAAAGGAAAGGATTCTGTTACCCTTTTACTCACAGCATAACTCGAGGTGGGCTGCAGGTAAAATGATGTCTGTGATTAGTTTTCTTGGGTAGAAGACCTAGTCAAGAACCACTAAAGTCAAAGGTATATATGTACAAAGATTTAAAAGTGGAAACAACACAGAGCTAGATGAATATATTTATACTACACTTACATACCTGAAGTTAAGGAGTT